GTAAAAGAGTATAGAGTACACAAGTGACCAGCCAGGAAGGTGGTGCATAGCTTGCAGAGGACAACCAGGACATTGGCGGTGGGTGGAGGTGGGGCTTGGGTGCACAAGAAAGACAGGAGGGGAGGAGGAGAGGGGCTGGGGAGCCAGTCCTGGCCTGACCCTTGGGGCTGTCAAGCCTTTAGCCTGAGCTGGGAGGGGTTGCAGGGTACACCCTGTGTTTCTTTGGGTTTCTCAGATCTCAGGAAACACCCTTTGTTGAGAGTGTTTTTAAATGTCATTTTGCATGACACCGGAGTGAGTGTTCTTCAGAACCCTTTCATCAGGGCCCCTCAGTTCTCGGTCACCAGTGACCATTTCTTGTCAGGAAGGAGTGTAAGATGCTTATCTCCATTGTGAGAAACAGCCTTGCTTTCCCGTGGGACAGCAGTGGCCCGTATCCAACTGGTTTCTCCACAGACCCCTCCTCACTAGGGCTGTTCGTGACCAACTAATGGGACAGGAGGGACAGAGAGGTCAGAGGAGAGGGTCCTGTTGACCCCTGGGCACCACAGTGTCTGCCGATGGGGCCTACCGTGGAGAAAGCCTGACCGTACCCGGTGGCTCTCAGTCACGCTCTGAAGGGGGCCAACATGGCTGTCATGGTGAATCAGGATTAGAGCCGGTGAGGCTGAACAAGAAGAGACACAGTTCACTTAACCCTTTAGATGATGACTGTGGAGGGGAGCCTGAGGGGTTATGTCCCCTGCCAGCAGTTTCCAAGCAACTGGGAATAGCGTATGGATGTGGGAAACAGCATCAGGGTGCTAAAGACCGAAGACTAAGGGAGTCAGAAGCCCCACACAGGTCTCCCTGGAATATCTGGGGGAGTGCTAGCCTCAGGCCTTCCTCTCTGCATCCGCCAAGAGTCACTTAGCAATGTCTTCCTCTTTTTCTTCATCTCTTTATTTCTGTATGTGTTTCAGGGAGAGATGTTTATGTATGTATGTGGTATGCATGTATGTTTATGGATGCACTATACACAGTTGGGGGATGGATGTGTGTATGGGTGTGAGGATAAGATGTAACGGGTGCCTATTGGGGGCAGAAATGTCTGTAAGTGCATGCAAAGTGCTAGAAAGCATGGGTGCATGTGTGGGTGTATGTGTGGACACCAGAGGACAAGCTAAGATATTCCTGGGGCTCTGTTCACCTCGTCTTTTGAGACAGGGAACTCACAAAGTAAGTTAGGCAGGCTTGTCTCTGCCTGCCTAGTACCAGAAACATAAGCACTTCTCAGTGGGGCTGGATTTTTTTTTTTTAACAAGGGTGCTGGGACTTGAACTCAGGTACTTAACACTTGCAAGCCATGCTCTTTCCTAACGGAGCCACCCTACTTTTCACAAATTGAACAAGCAATCTGTGCGAGCAAGAAGAGACAGATTTTCTGGGTGAAGCGGCTGTAATCCAGAGCCTCCCACCATACCTGCGCCCTGATACCCCTGCCCTGATACCAACTCCGGGACTATCCTGAGCAGGACTTATTCTCCGTGACCAGACGCCCTCTGCAAGACATCAGCAGTAGTGCATTGCATTTGAAGCCTCAGCTATGGAGGCACAGAAGGGTGTGTGAGTAAGGATTGTACCAGAAAGATCCATGTCATGAAGGAAGGCCACCCTCAGGATAGATGAAAGGTGATCCAGCCAGAGATAGACTAAGCTAGTTTCCACCCGGGGAAAAATGCCACACTGGGCACTGGGCATGTCTCAATGTGTCTATTATAAAACCCATGTTGTCCCCACATGGTAAAATGTCACACATCAGATCAGTGGCAGAGTTAGATGCTGACTACCAGCACCCAGATTTGAAGCCACCGTGGTCACAGGGCAGAGTCGGATCCTACTCACACACACCGGATGGACCAGGGTGAAGCAGAGCATGCCCACACACAGCAAAAGCACTCTTAATGTTGACTATTGAGAAAGATCTTTAAATCGGCAGCATTCAACCTGGCTTTTCTTAACCAGCCACCATGTTCCCGACTAGCCTAGGCCTGTACCAGGAGCGGCTGTGGCCATACTGCCGCTGCTCAGCTCGGACTGTCTGCTCAAGCGGTCAGAGACACCAGCCCTGCCACCCATGAGATGCCAGCGTGGGAGATGGCTCTGCCAGTCTCCCATGGTGTCCCCACAATGCTTGGCTGAGCCCAGACCATCCTGCCATCCACGTGGGCTCGGTACAAATGAGACTCTAATATTTAGATTATCCAAAGGCTTTATATGTTTGGTAATGCTCAATAACAAGATGCCCACACAATCAGAGGTGTAACCCAATACCCAACCTAGATATACCAACTACCTTTGACTGCTAGAGACAGGCGCACATCCACTTCCATGTTTCTCTCTCTCTCTCTCTCTCTCTCTCTCTC